GACTTAGTCATGGAGCCATCATGACGGGTTAGCTTAAAGGGGTTAAAGCGGACAAGGGACGCAAGGAATTATACTGGTTCGGCCCCTTACGATGAAGGTAAAAGCCTACTCCAGTAGTGATGGAATTGCTAGGGTTTCGTTGACCAGGGAGCGAATCCGCTTTGCCTGGCTCTCGAGTTATTGTTTGTTGTCCCTAAACCGCCGCCGGGTCGTCCCTTTATATACACAAGTTGACGCCCGATGGTTTACAGAATCCCGAGGACGGCTCATAAATGTGCCCGGCTCGGTTTCTACCTTTCCTTGCCTTACAACATAAGTTACATATCATATGGCAGTTTATATCTACGGGCCCTAATCCACCTTTGGGCCCTGGGCCTTCATGTTAGATCTCCTCTGTAAAGCGCCATACTTCTTGTCTTCATGGGCTTCAAACATGACTAACTCATTGTGGGGATAACCAGGCCCCTCATGGCCGGTTTATACTTAGTAGTAATATCCCCAACAAGCCCTAGTGTAGAGAGACAGGGGCCGGCCAAGGCAGCCCCCCCTCCCCTTGAGTCCGAATAGGACAAGGAGGGGAGGGGGCAGCGCCCCCCTTGCCTTTCCCCTCTCCCACTCCTTCCTTCCCCTCCTAGTGGGACTAGGAAAGGGGAGTCCTACTCCCACTAGGAGGAGGACTCCTCCTCTTGGCGCACCCTCCTAGGGCCGGCCGACCTTCCCCCTTGCTCCTTTATATACGGGGGCAAGGGGCACCCCATGGACACATAAGTTGATCATTGGTCATTTAGCCGTGTGCGGTGCCCCCTCCACCATAATCCACCTCGGTCATATCGTAGCAGTGCTTAGGCGAAGCCCTGTGTTGGTAGCTTCATCAACACCGTCATCACGCCGTCGTGCTGACGGAAATCTCCCTCGAAGCTCTACTGGATCGTGAGTTCGTGGGACGTCACCAAGCTAAACGTGTGCAGATTGCGGAGGTGCCGTACGTTCGGTACTAGGATCGGTCGATCGTGAAGACGTACGACTACATCAACCACGTTGTCATAACGCTTCCGCTTATGGTCTACGAGGGTACGTGGACGACACTCTCCCCTCTCGTTGCTATGCATCACCATGATCTTGCGTGTGCGTTGGATTTTTTTGAAATTACTACGTTCCCCAACAGGACACCGCAAGACTCACATATCATCGGAAGGGCATCAAGGTTGATGTAGAGGCCCTTCATGATCGAATCCCCCTTCGGTAGAGTACCGAAAAAGGCCCCAAGATGGGATCTCACGAGAACAAAAGCTTGCGGCGGCTGAAAAGTATTTTTGGTGTGCCCCCTG